AGTGAAATAAAAGGTTTGGAAGATTTTGCGATAGGTGCATATACTCCTATACGTAAAAAAAAGGTTTGAAAGATTTTGTGATATAAATAAAAGGTTTGAAATAAGCTAAAATAACTTTACATTTTATTAGACTTTAAATGATAATATTCCAAAATGTAGTCAAGTTTTATATTACGATAAGAATAAATGTCACCACAAAATGGAAAAAACTAGAAAAGGCTCTCTCTATTACATTAGATAATGAATATTCTTATTTGGGCAAACTCCCCCATAGATTGCCTCATAGGGGAGATTTCGCTATAATTACGCTTCGCAGAAGGATTGGCAACAGCAGTTTTTAATTTTTATTCAGCTCTTATTAGGAAGATGCTGCTGCCCATCTCCTGTTTTAGTTTCCCTATGTCGCCTCTTATGTCTACCCACGGGATGATATGGGATAGTTGGTATTCTTGCACCGCCACTACACCGGTAACAATAAGACTAGCTCTGATTAAGCGACAATTTTGCGTTCAGATATAAAAGTTCTGCAAAGTTAAATTATTAGTATTATAATTTTAATGTAATTAAGTATTCATGATAAAAAAAAACAAAATACAAGACTTTTTTTTTAAAATGAAGATGTTTCTGAGATCGTGGAAAGTTTTTTTTTTATAGCAAGCGGGTGACAAACGAGCACATAGCCCACCTGATGGTAAGTGGTTGCAGTGGCCCATAGACATCTACATCTATCCTCGACTAAGAATCAAAATGCAGATGCGTTGTCACCCCTGACGACTAAAATGGAATGCTTCGTTTCCAGTAAAAAGGGTCTCCGGTTCTGTACACTGATGAAATACAGCAGCATTAAGCTGTTATTTTACGCTGTGGTATTCTGTGAGAGCGTGGTCCTACTCCGGTCGAGCCGACCCATTCGCACTACAACCATAATAATATAGCTGAAGCTTGGCTTTACCACTGAAGTCTACAGTATGTCAACATATTTAGGGTCGTCCCAACATTAGGCTTGTAGTCTATGAATTCTTTCAAAAGGACAACGATTCCAACCAATGATAATTCGTGAGGCTATTGAAATAAAAAAAAAACATCATTCATTACATATACATCAATATAGAAGAGGATACTACCATCTGTTTGGGATCCCATAATAAATAAAATTAAATAAACGCTCAAGCGTACTATTGCAAGATTCCGAGATACAGTAAGGTCGTTCTGCAGAGATGGTACAAAAAATTTATATTTAAAAGTTGAAGGAAGCCCTCGTACAAGGACGTCAAACACCTCAGTGCCCAATACAGCACCCTTGGTCAAGGGTTTTTAATTTATTTTGAAAGGTCGATTTTGCTAAAATTCTTGTAAAATATAGATTTTTTTCTCCGAAACTAAAGACGATAATACATATAAGTCGATTTTGGAGAAGCATTGTTTCTTTCAACCTCTTCTGAAATTTATAACACTTAATACTTTAATAAGTACACTGAATAAATATAAGACATCATTACTGTTAACTTTTTTTTTTATAGGAGAGGGGGCAAACGAGCATGCGGCTCACCTGATGGTAAGTGACTACCGCCGCCCACGAACAACCGCAACATCAGGGGAATTGCAGTAGCGTTGCCGGCCTTTTAAAAAGGAGTAGACTCTTTTCTTGAAGGTCCCTAAGTCGTATCGGTCCGGAAAAATCGCTGGTGGTAAACTATTCCATAAGGAAGTTGTGCGAGGAAGAAAACATCTTCTAAATCGCACGGTGGTGGACCGCCAATCATCTAAATGGTATGGATGGTATCGGGAGTTCTGCCGCGATGTGCGTTCGTGAAATTTGACAGGTATTTATCATATTTATCAACTCTGTGCCAAACAATTTAATATGCATTTCTGTCCCTAATATTAGCGTATTTTTTTATTATACCTTTTAAGCGAGTACACACTATGCAGATACGATAAGATATCTGTATCTGAGCGCATATCTTTCCATATCGCTCGCTATGAAATTCAATGAAGTAACACACACAGCGCAAATAATTTATATTTTATCGTTAAGGCGATACCCCAACCAAAACCTTGCGATAGTGCGTTTTGCTTCGTTATTCAGAGACTATTATCTCATTATTTATGAGAAATAAACTAAACTACAACTAAACTATTATAAAGAAAATAATTTTCAATATCAAAACCACAAAGTACTTAAAATTACACACATTCCGTAAATCTTGAAAGACATAAACACAAAATCACCATTTCATTAGGCGGGTGCGTGTATGTGACTAATCCCGGAGGCGCCAGCGGGGCGTTCGCTATTGCCTATACACACCTCAGTTTTAAATAGCATTCAGGATCGATTTGCGATTAACGAGAATTTATAGTTCTATTCATTAGCAGATATTTGATTTAACAACCGCCCGTTTTAGCGGCAAGTGAACTTGATCACTGAGTCGTAGGTACTAAGTTCTTATCTCAGCTGAACTGGTCGCGACTGTAGCGTTTTCCCCACAAGAATTTAAATTTAAATTTACCATAAGATAACCAGTAATTATTACGGTATCACTGGATTTTGGATAGAAACCTTAACTAATAAACTCAGATCAGCTGCTTTTGCTGTTGGAAAGATTCGTAAACTAATGGATGGTGCTACTGTTATGTTAGTTTAGTTGCTTTCATAGCGAAATGTCTTACGGTATTTTAATCTGGGGACATGCAGATGACGTGAATACTGTTTTCTACCGACTTCAAAAAGGAGGAGGTACTCAATTCGACTGTATATTTTTTATGTGTGTTACCTCATAACTTTTTTCTGGGTGAACTGATTTCAATGATTCTTTTTTATTTGAAAGCTGGTGATTCCCATATAGTCTCATATAAGATCAAGATCAAGGTCTGACCAATAGTTTTTGAGTTAATCTTAATATTTATATTGAAGTCGGTTGCATTAAATTTTAATTTTAAATTATTAATTAACGAAAAAGGGTAGTACGTGTTTAATTTGCGCTTTCGTGTTTCGAAACTGTTTAAAATTGTAACTTTTACAAACCAGTCTTACATATAAATAATTATCGGCATCATCGTATTCTAATGTGAAGAAATAGTAACAAAAATGATTATCCTTTATTTTGATTAACTAAGATAAATAACTCATTCATGAGGATTTTTACACAAAGTTATAAAATCCCCACAATATTTTACTTTTCCGAAAGAAAATCCGAAAATTACATTATAAAGTGTTTATGCTCCACAGCTTTATTTTAATCAATATTTTGATGAAAAAAGAGCATGGAACGGTGTTATTCCAGTTTAAAACCAAGCTATGTATATTTGTGCCGTAACTATTGGTAGAATTAATACGTAATATAAAGCTAGACGGTTGGTTTTAGAAGCGAATTGTAATTGGTCCCATGGGAAATTTACATGCAGTAAATTGTCTTCATTTTGTGTTTTTCGTCCATTTTTCTTTATTTTGGTCGAGGGAGGCAATGGTTGCCATATGCATCATACTTGTGAACAGGTGCTGCTGGTAGAGTCTGGTCAGCTCAGGTTCGCTATACATATAGAGATAAGCTCCAATTTTTTTATCTCCCTTGTTTGAGTACATCATACTTCAGTTACCAGTGGGTTACTTCAGTAACCTGATTTCGAGACGATGATTGGGAGATTGTGAAAAATTGCATTTGACCAACAATATTTTATTTTCTGACGTTATGAAGACAATTATATTATACTCGTATATCCAACAACAGATTATATGAATGCCGATAAAGAAGTTCTTTTCTGCCGACTTCCAAAAAGGAGACGGTACTCAATTCGACTGTATGTTTTTGTTTTCTTTTTTTATTATGTGTGTTACCTCATAACTTTTTACTGGGTGAACCGATTTATATGATTCTTTTTTTATTAGAAAGCTGGTACTTCTCGTGTGGTCCTTATTCTTAATAACTTATATTGAAGTCGGCTGTACAAAATTTTAAATTTTAAATTATTAAATGTTTTATTAGTACAACCATCGATAGATTAATGAGAAATATGTTTTTATAAGGTCTTGTGTTTTTGTTGCGCATAAAGTACTCTGTGGACTGTTGTGGACAAATTCACATTTTAAAAGAATTGAAATTATAATCAAAGTATTTTTTCTTGAATTGTTGCAGGCCTCGCACCGGCGTGGTAGGCGCACTGATCAGACTCGCTCGCCCCCTCCTGTGACTAGCCAGGTTTCGTGCAAACGGTACGGGCGGCGGATTGTAAGTTAATGTCTATTTTTTATTCAATCAACTTAAAGTTACTTATGTCATATAAAATGTTCCTTAAATTACAGAATCAGGTTAACATTTAGTTGTTTAAATTATTAACTAACCTAACCATATTTTTATAGTAAAGCATCAATATAACATAACATAATTCATATTATATTATATAATATATTTAGACGTGGTAGAGCCACACTGCAACTATATAATGGTTGTAGCACGAATGGGTCGGCTCGACCGGGGAAGGACTACGCTCTCACAGAACTTTTTCATATGGTAAGTGTAGAGACCGGAGACCCTATTTACTGGAAACGAGGCATCCCATCTTAGTATTCAAGAGTGATTACGCATCTGCATTTTGATTCTTAATTGATGATAGATATACATAGATGTCTATGGGCCTCAGCGTTCGCTGTTTGTCACCCTTATTCTATGCGTTATGTTTTACTTGAATATGTGTAGAAACGTAACAAAATGACCTCAAAATGGCGGTGCACCCACCTCCGCCACGCGATGCCTTACAGTTCCTACTCGAATTTTTTGATCCTTTAGCTATCGAGTGTAATTAAACTTTGGATGTAAGTATATGATAGATATGTAACTGCAATACGAAACTCTATTCACCGATTTTGTTCCCACTGTGGAAGCAAATTTAAGGACGCATTCACGTCAAAATAATATGTTGTGTTGCAGAGGCGTGGGGCGCGGTGCGTGGCGGCGGCGCGGGCGCGGGCAGCGTCAGGATGCGGCGCCTGCCACCATGACGCTGCCACCGCCCGCGCGCCCCGCGCACTACCCTGCCGCGCACCGCGCGATGCGCTATTACCGCATCTGGATCTACGCGTGCAACGGGGCATTGCTACTTGGTGCGCTCGCGTTCTGCACGGCGGCAGGCCGTGCGCTTGCAGACTATCGTCGCACTCTCGTGCCTGGTCTGGGCGCCGCGCAGCCCGGCTTTCTGTACGGATACGCGGCCCTACCTGCGCAGGCTGGTCTTCTGCAGCTACTCGGCTGCCTCGCCGCCCTGCGTCTCTCCGAGCGTATGCTTAACGCATACTGGTTTGCTCTACTTGCACTTTTAGTCGGTGACGCCGCGATCGGTGTCTATTGGGCGTTCCGTTTCGAGCGTGTATGCCGAGAGTTACGACCACAGCTGCGCATACGTCTTGCAAGAGATTACGAAAACGACGTGGATTTCTCCGAGGCGTGGGATCGTCTACAAAAGGAACAACGTTGTTGTGGAGTAACCGGTCCTGCCGATTTTGCTGCTTTTAATCGCTCGGCATTACCGCCTAGTTGTTGTCGGATTCCAGCACATTCACCAGCCGTAACATCTGCTTCTTTAGCGATTATATCAGTTACATCACCGGCACCATTCACTCCAGTTCATTGCGCACCACACACGGCAGCGTGTGCAGAGAGGCTGCTTTCCTGGCTACGTCGAACAGCGGATGCATTATTCGTCCTTGGCTATTGTGTCATCGCATTTTTAAAATTGTGCTTCCTGGGTATTCTAAGATACGAGATAAAAGAAATGATTCAAAAAATAAGAATATTACGTAGTGAGCTAGGCGCTGGGGAGTTTATGGATGGTAGCCCCATTCATGGCGGGCCATTGTCTCAGACTGTTGTTGTAAATGCTGTTAACGCAAACGGCGGAGTTCGAACTCACGGCGGTAGTCCAGAAAGGGCGGGAGAAAGAGAAGCTCTCCTTGGTCGAAGCGCCGAACCATGTGCTCGTCGGAGTATACACGACGAGCCGCTCAGTCTGAAAACCATAAACGGCAACAATAACTGCGAGATGCGGGAATTCGCTCGTGGCGACTACCGGCCACTCGCGGCAGACAGCGCTGCAACTCGGATCTGACTAAGATGTTACTTGGAGCGGTTGTTCGGGCGGCGATGGCGCTCATTTCCTGCCGCTGGATTTGAGGTGGAGCCCCCACTGGCGCGCGGAGCGCCAATGTGCGTTCGTCGCACCAGTGGTGCCCGTGTTCGCCTTGACTATCGCCGCCACACTCGCTCCGAATTTGAGTTGTAAGGCCCACTTTTGACTGTTGTCCTTTAGAAAATTATATCGTGCGGTGTATTACAGTGTATTGAAAGATGAGGGTTTTTACGTAATGATTATTAAATGTCAATATGGACGTTACAGTGAAACAGTGACCATTTAAAACATTAATACGGATGTTAATGTGTTCTTTAGTTGAACTGACTCCCACGAGCAAAGCTTGTGTTTAGTTCCTATGCTTGGCAGTTAAAATTTACTAGATGTATAAATGATAATATTTATATATGCATTAGGTATATAAAATACTTTTGTTTCAAATAGACGTATTTACTCATTTTGCACGTACTATTATTATTAATGTTTCATATTTTATTGTGTATTAGAGTACGTGGACGCTAACGTTAAACATTTCGATTTTATTTTAATAGGAATACGATTTATAAAAATACGTAAGTTATTTATTTTTTAGCACACGAAATTTTCCAGTAATTAATCTGTAGGATTTATAAAATATTTGTGTATTACTCGTACGTATATCGCTTTGGGATATGTAAATGTATTGTTCACTTTAATTGCTCTGCCCCTCTTGTATTTTATAAATATTATACGAGTACTTTATAGATTATTTTTTATATCTCCTCTGCGAAACGCACAGTGGCTTTTTATTGCAAATGTGACCAATTTTACCGAATTAAATGCAAATGTTTGCAAAGGGTTTAAACAGCTGCACATTGTTAGTACCTTTTTACAACGGACGGATAAATTGGGATTATTTACAAGAGAGCTTATAAAAAATTAAAAATAACCTTGAAAGCAATTTCCAATAGAAATAACGAGACTCGAAACGAATATTGCGTAGTATTTGATTAAATGATTGTTTATTATGATAATAATGGTAATTATTTAGCAATTATTATTGTAGTAATACTGTGTCCGTTAATATATTTTTTCACAGTGAAATATTACTTTTTAAATACGTACGTATGCATAATTTTTTACTTTATTTTATAAACAAACTCAGACCAAACAAAAATTTTCGATACAACATTATGTAAGTAAGTTTCAAGTGATGTGACGACCACATATGATATAGTACATACTGTATATGTGTGTATAATTGCGTGTTCTTACAATAAGTTAATCATGGTTTTGGCGTCACTTGAAATATACGTAGTGTTCTGTATATCTTTGTTGGTCATCGAATAGCAAAATTTTTGAGGTTAGTGAAGATTTTAGTTATTCTGTGTAGATTATCATTAATTCTTTAACATAATAATTAGTGTGCAACTAAATCAATAAAAATAGGAGAAACCAATAAAAGGTACGTAGTCGTTTTTTTGTTTTAGAAATTAGGTAAAATCTTCACTGAACCATTTCCCCGTTTGTACGAATGTAAATAGTTCTAGAAATAATTTGTGTGCATGTACACGAGTAGGATGCGAGTTGTTGTGCATGAACAAACAAAATAGTACTGATATGAGCTTAAATGACGTAGTGCCTACGAATATAATTATGCTTGTAACAGTATAAAGCGTATAACTACATTAAATTTAATACAAATCCTTTTTCCATTCCTAGAGAAGTTTTTCGTAAGACATTATCAACATTGCTAAGACGCTCGAAAGTGATATATACATAATATTATACGTCATGGTATGAAGGATTACCTTAATTTAAATGGCTGTGTCCAAATGAGGTTTCAAACCTTTTAATGTCGTGTAGAGTGAATCAAAAATTATATTTATTATTATTGTAAAATGGCTGCGTGTTAGGTTGGTAAAAACATTTCGTAAATGTAACAAATTAAGTAATAAGCGGTCGAAAGTTATAGAAGCGTTTGGAATCTGATACGCTGCATATATGCAATGGACAACAATAATTTTATTAAAAGTGTTTTAAAGAGTTTATAAAATATTGTTACAAATCGGCATTTAACACCGACCATGTCGAATGTATTTATAACCAATTGTCATAATTCATAATATGTCATTTTTCTTTTCTTAACAATATAAATAAATCCAAAACATATTATACCCATCTACATATTTGTACTTATTAAAATGTACTTTTAGATATTATAATATAATAATGAGTATAAGTTAATTACATTGTTCGCTTAGAGTAGGTTTAGGTACTATTATGTGAAATTATGCAGAAAAATAGTTTTTTAATATTGTTGTCACGTAAATGTACCAATCTTATAAAATTTTGTACCTATGTTCGGAAAGTTGGATAATTTGTAGCTAGGATCCAATCTAAGACCTGCATTTCTTCCAAGAACAGTATAATAACATGTGCCTTGGCTAAAAAGAACTCGTTTAACTGACTTTAATTTTGGCATAAATTATTCGGTATTTAATACAATTTTATAAAATATATATATTAGCAGCATATTAGAGACAACTCTCTATGTGCTCCTAATCTTTTACTGTCGACTTCTTTACCTACCAGCTAACTTCCCGAGTATAAAAATATATTGTAACTTTAATTGTTTTTAAATATTATGTAGATTTGTAAATAAGAGAAAATTTAGTATGAGGGTAATACAGTCCTGTGAGGATCAAATAATTTTCTCGTAAATGCTTGTAAAAAAAGATTATCTTTACACTATTTCAATTTTAAATTAAAGAAAAACTTAAGCTATTTTTTCTTTGATTTAGTAAAATTAGATACAAAATTTATTATTAAATTATAAAATTACATTCTACATAGAATGTTATAATATGTTAAGATATAGAGCTTGTGTGTTTAATTTATCGCTGTAAACTTTATTCTGTGTTCAATGTCATTTTTCAAGTAATGAGTGTTTCGTAATTATTGTATTCAGTATTTGTAGTGGAGTTGATACAACTTTCCGAAGGTACGCACTAGGCGACAGAGAGCTAATATTATCATAATAAATGCATCAAATAAAGAGTTTGTTAAATGTTTCCTATTTTATTTCATATTTCATTATTTATATTAAGTGTAGAAATAATATAAAATATTATGCCTGATGGAGTCTGAGACATATACTATATATATATATATTGTGCGTGTGTGTGTGTGTGTGTGTGTGTGTGTGTGTGTGTGTGCGCGCGCGTGTGTGTGTGCGTGTATGTGTGTGTGTGTGTGCGTGCGCGCGTACGTGCGTGCGTGCGTGCGTGCTTGCGTGCATGCGTGCGTGCGTGCGTGTGTGTGTGTGTGTACATTGAATTATCATTCAATCTATTTATACAGGCGTCTTTAGAATTCAAAAACCTTGGTGATATCGAGAACTGTAGAAACTTTATCAAATATACCACCCTGTTTAGCAAACAGAATTACATTTACGAGACTGGAACTGAAAAATTGTAAACAAGGAACTGGAACAATTGACCGTGCGTAAATCTCGATAATTTTATCTCAATCCACATACTCATAATTCGTGTTAATGATTTTTTTATATATTTTTCTTTAGGGTCAAAAACATAATCTTAAATGCTGTAAAATTACGTGATTTCTTTATTTGGGATTATTATACGCAGTTCGGTTGAAATATATATGACGGCACCTGCACCGTTGTAGGTGCGGTGGCGTCGGTCTAGCTAGACAGAATTCTTGTAAACAACACGTGTACCGCACACCTGCGGCATTGCACCTGCGTTGCCATCCGTCCTGCTTGTATAAAACGGACGGAGCGGCCGTCGTTAGGACAGTCTTGGCTCTGACGTGGAATGGTGCGCTTGTCGTATTCCGTTACTAGTTTATCCTTGACTCGTTGGATAATTAATTCATGTAAAAGAATTAATTATTATTCCTAACTACAAAATCAGTCTCTGTACTATACCCACTATACTTCCTACATCAGAAGTGGGATAAAGTCCCCCTTATTGCCCACATATAATTTTCGAATAGTATGAGAATTATTACATTTGTAAAGGCTATAATGCATTTCGCATTTATGGATCTCTTTTTATGTTAAATACCGTAATGAAATTTGCTGTCCTACTTACGATATTGTCGTATCATTAAGGTGTAGAGAAAAGATAAAGTGAAATTATTTAAGCCAAAAGATAAATCCTTTTGTATTAAAAGTACCCTCAAGTATTTTCATTATTTCTGACGTACCTAAATATGTTAATAAATGGAAGAAATGTCGGAGGCTTTCTAGACGAGTCATCGTTTGCATTGAATGAAAAATTAACTTATTAAAGTTTTGTTGTAATTTGATAGTTCATGCGAAACGTGATTATCATCTGTTATATTTTCAAATTCAAAACGTTTAGGTGATGTACCAAAATAAAGGATTAACTTTTACATGCTAGGAATTGAAAATAATAAGTAACATTTTTGTGTTCTATTGTGTTGATCAGTGTTGCAGTTTGCTCCGAATACTGTGTGGCCGACAAAATTGGGGTTTGATGTTGAGAGATTCGTAGAAATCTCTACATCAATGATCAATGAGGAAGATGTTGTGACGGCTAATCGAATATGGTCAGGTACGGCCGAGCGCTAGTAAAATTGAGCCTACACCGCTACACTCGGTAACTTATCGGCTGATCTTACGGCAAGGTAATTCAAGCGGCCGCCGAACAAATGGTGCTTTGGTGCTGTAAATGGACGTCTGAGGCTTGGACGGCTTTCGTAGATTTTGCGCGGTTGCCTCCTTCCCTTTGAAATATGTTGTAGTATTTGTCTCTACACATAGTTTCCCTTTTTTGCAATGTTTTCAAATGGCATACAGTTGCCGTTTCTTAAGAGAATCTCGGAATTCCATAGTTCACAATACATTTATTTCCATTTCTCTTAATTTTTAATTTTGCAAAGCAGTGCGACGATTCACTAGCGCCAATACGGCGCGACGGCTCGCTAGCGCGAATGTGGCACGAACGCAGCAGAACGGAAAGTTGGAGTGCGTTTGCCTGGAGGTAGCCATATCGGCGCGTCCATGACTTAAATGAAGTCTGGGATGGTCGACCGTTGTAATATTTAACAAGAGTTAATATCTGTAAGCAGGTGGTGATAACTGATAGACCGTATGCTGTTCACTGTCAACCGCACGAGGACGTGCGACAGTCAGAGGTAGCCGTGTCTGTCTGTGCATCTAGAAAATACTAGAGACATTGCAACACTCTAACGAAATAATTATTCTAGTGCAGGAAAGGAACATGAAGTTGCAGGGAGGCTGGTCTGTGCTGCACTGGGATATGTCTAGAGTTGCTGTTGGTTTACATACTTAGGTGTTATCGTGTCACTACGTCCCTCACGATACACTTTTGTGTGATTGTGACGGGGACATGTTTGCGGTATGGTTGGTCTGTAACTCTATACTGAATTGAAAAAAAAAAGAGTGTAAGAAATAAATTTGTGGTTCTTACTATCATTGCAGGGCGTTTGCCAGTCCAATGATATAGCTACAGGGAATAGTGATTCCGGACTAGCATAAATAGTACTGAAAAAAAGAGATTAAGAAAAAAGAATAGTTCTTAGAATCATTGCAGGGCTTTGTGCCGGTCCAGTGATATAGCTATAGGGAATAGTGATTACGGACTAGCGAAAACAGTACTTGGAAAAAAAAAGAGAAAATAGAAAAAGCTACAGACTAATCATTCCGATCTAACATAAAGATGATTAAAGTTTTGCAGGGCTTACTGCCGGAACAAAACAGACTGTCACCCAAGTCTGAAGGGTCAATATAGACCGGACCAGACGCTGTTATGTCAGGATAGTCGAACGATGTTTTTTTGTCTACAGATAACTAAAATTGTGATGGAGCGCGCGCGAGGACTCACGCATGTCAGTATGGCCGTGACGGCACCTGCACCGTTGTAGGTGCGGTGGCGTCGGTCTAGCTAGACAGAATTCTTGTAAACGACACGTGTACCGCACACCTGCGGCATTGCACCTGCGTTGCCATCCATCCTGCTTGTATAAAACGGACGGAGCGGCCGTCGTTAGGACAGTCTTGGCTCTGACGTGGAACGGTGCGCTTGTCGTATTCCGTTACTAGTTTATCCTCGACTCGTTGGATAATTAATTCGTGTAACCGAATTAATTATTATTCCTAACTACAAAATCAGTCTCTGTACTATACCCACTATACTTCCTACATATATATATTTTCTATTATTTTAAATTGAGCTTTCTTGAATTAAGAATCAGAATATGTTTTTAACTGTTTTATACGTTCATAACGGAAATAGGATATTTATAGTAAACTTCTATAATCAATCACATAAAATCAACTCTTCAACTGATTATTTACAACAATCTTTACTAAATTTCAATTTACTAATAAACTACAAATTATTATTACTTTAATGATGGTGATGTTAATGAGCCACGCAAAACTTAACCATAAAAATGGATTAAGTTCTAATGAAAACATAAGCAATTTTCTGTTATCAGATCGAAATAAATTTTATTACGTTACGCCAATTAATTAATATTTTGTCACGACTAGTTGCATGTTTTAACTAATCATGTTATAAATTACTATACGGGGTAATAACAAGGTTAAACTTGTGGTTAAAAATTAAAAATAATTGTAATAACTATTTAAGAAGTTTTGAAGCTTTAAGAAAATAAACGTAGCTATAACACCAAAATTACAAGTCAACGGGGCATTTGTTATTGTGACTTATGGTGAAGGTTGGGAAGCAATGTTAGGGACACGAGTATGCATTAAAGGTAAAATAAGTTAATTTTAGGGCTATGATATACGGTGTTATTTTTCAAAGAGTATATTTAAGTTCAAATATATAAATAATGATTATTGCAGTTTTTAAAAATACGAGTAAATAAGGCTTCCACTTTTATTTGAAATTATTCCTACTATACTACACGTATGCACGCTCCTCTATGTGCGATTCTATTCACGACTCTTACGAAAGTGTGCTTACGTAGTAAAATAGGTAGGCGTAGGCGTTAGATATTTATGAATGAAAATCAGTTAAAATAATGTATTACCACGAATTCTAAATTTTAAGGATAAAAAGGACAGAAGTTTGAGATTTTTTTAATTCGTTTTTCTTCACCATTCGCCTATATTACTTATTCTGAATCTTCTCTACAAATTAGGCATTCCATCGTGTGGCTACGTATAAAGGGCGACAGCTATCCCACACGCAGCCAGGTCCCACAGTGGCAATGCTGAAGCAGACCGACTCATCGACCACGCGTCCAAATGGCTACAGATTTCGTGCTTACATATCCCATCCACAGAGATCGTGCTCCTTAGCTATTTCAATGCCCACCACGCCGAATGGCTTGGTTTTCGTATTACCGATTATGCGGGGAGATCTGTTTACGACTTTGCCTTGACATATGGTCTGACACAACTGGTCACTTCGCCTATTCTGAGCAGATACCAGATCCATGATACCAGAGGATCATGCACCTTCCTTATTGGACCTTCTGCTAACCTCTCATCCGGACGGCTATCAGGTCTCAGTCGATGCCCCTCTTGGCTCTTCGGATCACTGCCTGATCTGGAGTACAGTGCCCAAGACATGCTCATTGCAGGCACGATCTGTAGGCTGCCGCCATATGTAGCATTATAGGTCAGCTGATTGGGATGGGATGCGGGCTTTTTTGTATCCTACGGGACCACGTCGTCGAGTGCCGGAACAAACTTGAGTCCGAAGTCGAGTCTTTGTTAAACAAAGTCTCGGCTTAGGGGCGACTAAATCTAGTTCAGTTCTAGTCTATTCCAAAAAAAACCCTTTGTTGTATCTCCTCGGTTTCAGGACACTCCCCTCATTACTTCAGTCATCATTGGAATCCTTGGTGTCGACATTTTGAGAGACTTACAGTCCCCAATCACTTGAAAGGAAGGCTAAACTGGCTTCAAAACGCTTGGTGTGCTCAGTAGCCCGCAATGATAATTCATGCCGGCCCATCGCTTGAAGCATTACAAAGCGCATATTCGGCCTCATATGACTGTTCTCATCTCTGGGCCGGGGTAC